TCTGATCTTTTTTCTCTGTACATTTAACAAATTTGTGTTTGAAAAATAAATACTAGCTTTCTGAATAACCATATTTAAATACAAGGAGGGAAAACTATTATCCTTATTGTTGGCCAGCCTGAAAAGAACCAATAATTTGGAAAAGAACCAATCCCTCACCCATGCACTGTTACTGACAGCAGAGAGAAGGGTATGTGTGTTGTTACCACTGGCAGGTACCTGGCTGCACGCTTGCTCAGTGAGTTCAAGGAATGGATGTGGGTACTGGAAGTTAGAGCCACATCTCAGTTACCCAAAGGTGTTTCCAAAGAGATTTAACTGATATTTCTTGTACARTCACAGTGCTAGCCAAGCAGTATGAGTCTGTGTTGTCTGGTTTTCAGTGTGGGATCGTTTTCCAGAGCTCCTTCTCAGTGTCACTTTCTTTTCCGACAGGTGAACCTTTTCTTCCTGCTGAACATCGTTCGTGTTCTCATAACCAAGCTGAAGGACACCCACAAGGCTGAATCCAACCTGTACATGAAAGCAGTGCGAGCGACCCTGATCCTGGTTCCGCTGCTTGGCATCGAGTTTGTGCTGTTCCCATGGCGACCCGAGGGCCGCATCGCGGAGGAGGTGTATGACTACGTGATGCACATCCTCATGCACTACCAGGTGGGGAGCAGCACAATGGGCTTGCTCACCTCAGCAAGAGGGGAGCTGGCATGGCTGTCAAATAAAAGAGAAATTATCGTGTTATTTCAATTTTTACAGACATTCATGCAGTGTTCTTATGGCTTTGACTTTCTCAATATGGTGAAATTTCATTTCCTATGACTTTTCAAAGGAAAGAAGCATCATGGCAGAAAACTGGGCACATATTTTTAGTGATCTTCTTTTAGAAATAATTCATTATTTTTAGATTTGTCCTGTATTTTCTCTGCTATCTATATCTGAATTTTCTCAGAAACCTTTAATTGTCTCACACTTGAAATAGCCCATATGCATATGAATTAAAGCAGAATCTTTATTTTTATTTTACAGGGTCTACTGGTGGCTACAATTTTCTGCTTCTTTAATGGCGAGGTAGAGTAACAACTTTTACTATATTTATAATAATTCTTTTACTTTTGTATGTTTTTGTTTCAGAAGYTGAGGAGGTGGTAATTTTTACTTTCTTTTTTTTTTAAATTTTATGTCTAAATTTGTCTAAATTAAAAGAAGAGAACAAATCATCAGGATTCCAAGAGCAGAGCTTGGAAAGCGCTATACCATCATWCATGGCACCATTAAGTGTTTTATGATTGATTCTTGAGTGCTGAGCAACATACATTTGTCATGATTATACAAGAACTTGAGGACAATTGTCACTTTGGTATACAGTCTCAATAAATATTGTAAAAGGAAATGCAGTTCAACACCCAGAGGGTTTRTTTGTCTGTACTGGAAGCTGGATAGGATGTTATCCTGGAGAATCACCATTTGGTCCTTACATGGCAGGAATAGGACACACTGCAAACRTGTTGCCAGGCKKGGAATGGGTATACCCCATGGCAKGGGGTTGGAAATAGATGGTCCCTAAGGTCCCTTCCAACCAAAATCCTTCTGGGAGGCTGTGATTGTTTTATGCTGCTCTATGGGAAAAGCTTAGGCTGAGGTTTGAAAAAGTGTTTTTTAGCACAAGTGAAAAATACCATCCATATAATGAGACCTTAACAGCTTGGAGTGCTCGGGTCAGGAATTTGTGTTGGTTGGAAGTGCAGGTTTAACATACCATGATCAGCCAATCCCAAGGACAAACCTTGTTCTGCCATTAGGGGATTGTGCCAGGTTTCAGTAATAGATGCTATTGATCCAGCTGAAGCTAACAAGCTKTGCTGTTATCTTGGCTAGATCAAGGTCCCTGGAGGGCACAGGGTTACTTTCATGTAGAAACTCTTGCCACAGGCTGTAGAGAGTACACTTCCAGAGGCTTAGTGTCAGAGATCAAAGTAGTAGGAAGGCTAAAAAAATATATATTAAATTTTTAATGTTTCTCTTGCTTGTAAAAAAAAAAAAAATCTCAGCAACTCCAATGAATAGACTCTTACCAAAAAACTACCTGGTACTTTTCCAACACTTTTGGCAGAGGAACARTTTCAATCCTACACTTATTCCTGCACATCTGTTCATTTGTTCTTCATTTAGTGTGGTTACAGTATGGCTGTAAGTAGAAGTGTGGGAGTAACCAGATGTTTTTATGTGACTGAACCTTTAGGGGTTTTATCAGATGTTATAAAATTGTGTCAGTGTCTTACTATAGAGTTATTGGACAGTAATTTTTACTCACTGGTAAATATTTGGCTAATACTAGAACWGATTTATTGCCCTTCCTTCTCTTCCCAGTTCCAAAGCTGATAGAATTGCAGTGAAACTACCATGGGATTTGAAGGTTTATTTGTGTTTGTTGTGTGTCCCTCCACCCAAATGTATGAGTCTCACTGATTTTTTTGCCAAGGAGGCAGAAAAGATGAATATGGGCTTTGTCAGAGTTCAGTGGGTGGGGCAGTGGCCTTGATCTGATTTTACCATTGWGTAGATACAGGTTCAAGTCCCTGCTTGTACAGCTGATTCAAAACTGTACATCATTAAATGTTCTGGATCAGATCTGATCACCTGCCCACATACTGCAATGACAATTCCCAAACTCTTTCTCTTCTACACAGCAGAAAGCTCAGTTTGCCTTCACAATGCCATAATATAGTTTACAATGCCTTCCAAAAACAGGTATTYGGAAAAAATGAAAGTTTGTTCTGCTCCAGTGGAAAATTAGGGAGGAGGGGTGGAAAACATTGAAATTCSTGCAGTTTTTATGAAACAGCATTGTCCACTACTCAGTTCTGTCTCTTAATCCTTGTGCCTCTTCCAAGGCTGTTTTTAATTTTAAATTATGATTAATTTTGAAAAATATCCCTGTATCTGTTAATATTTCATTGTCACAAACTCATTTTTTTTTTTAACATATCCTCTTCTGCTGCGTAAGAAAAACCAAACCAGAGTCATCCCCTAAATTCACTATGGGCTCATCAGTCATAAAAGATGAGCTCTTCTGCAACTCCTAAAAATGCTAAAAACTGAATCACTTTTGAATATCTACTGGCAAAATAATGTAAAAAGGAGGACTTAGGCATTTAACAATCATTTATTTAGGAATTTGAATTTTGGACCATAGACCTTAGTTAAACATACATGTTTGTGTTTGCTCTCTAGAGAGTGGAAATTTATGCTTTGTAAACCACTTTTGGGTTCAGTGCTTCAATGACCACTATTTGCTTTTTTTTTATTATTATTTTCAGTATACCTTTTTCAAAAAGGAACTTAATGYTTTATAAACAACAGTATCAATAAGAAAATCCAGGGGAAAAATGACAGTGTAGGTAGGGAAAGATGTCACTTGGAGTGACAGTGGGGCAAAGATTTTCCAGTGGGGTATCAGCAATTAAAAGCCCTAATTTCTTTCAGTCTAAGTCTTAGCCTTTCCCAGCTGTTTCTGTACATTCTAGTGTATTCTGCACCAAGTATAAGGAGCTAAATCCTGTTCAGGCAGATGCTTCTGGCCAAAAAGTGAACAAAAGTGATCTGCTAGGATAGAACTTTAATGAAGATAAATTAAKAAATGTAAGAAAAACAGCTGGTATGTCCTGCTGACTGTAGCCAAGGAACATCTCCAGCTTGCTGAGCATTAGCCAGGGATGTCCTGTCAAATCCAGTTCTTGCAGGCCCTGCAGCTGCTCATCACAGACCTCCTACAGACAGGGCGGATGTGYGAGCCCTTCCTCTGGGATCTCCTGTGCCAGGGCTTCCCCAAGGACCCTCACATTCTGCTGACATTCCAGCATCCCACAGAGTAAGCTGCTCTCAACTCATCATGTTTTCARTCTTGACATGGCCCAGAGTGCCTTCTGGGGTGAAACAGGCTGTGGTCAGAGAAGCTTGTCCCAGATCTCTGATAAATCAGTAGGAAGATTCCTATCGAGCTTTTAATAACAGGTGCTGTAGTGACCTACATGATCTGTGTAAGGCTTGTGGGGCTTGTTTGGTTTTTTCCTTTCATTTCACTGCTCTATAGATAATGTCGCTATGAAGATCACACTTTCAGGTTTGCAAGGTTATACAATCTGTTTAACAATAGATGAGATAGATGAGGCTGTGTTGTGGTTTGGTTTGGATGTTTTCCTTCTGATTGTTTACTGAGTTGTTTAATTTACCTCAAATTCAACATCAAGCTACTAATGTTAAAGGGCTGAGTGGAAGGAGCCCTTCCTGAAACCTCATCAAAACCAGTCATTATTAAGTAATAAGGTGAGAAAGAAAGAAAGACTCTTCCAGCTGCAACCAGCATCTCTGTTAATGACTGAGAAATACAATTATATTATCACAATACTTTCCATTTGATGCTTTCCTCAATATCCTTTCTGGTAACAAGGTCACAAAGTTCTACCCCTMCTGAGCTGAATTTACAGTTCTGTGCCAATGCTCAAAGCTGAGGAGAAAGTGGTAAAAGTGCTATTCTCACTTCATGGGTAGACACACGTATTCCTAAACTGAGTATAATTGATTCTTCTGTAGATGATAGGAAGGTTAGGGAAGACTGACAGTCAGTGATAATTAATGAAAGGATATAACACCCTTCAAGAACAGACACATGGCAGGACAGAGGTGAAGTCCTGATTCAGCAGTAAYGGAGAGGCTTTGGGAAGAATGCCAGGAATATGTGGCTCAGTTGGAAATGCAGGGAGAGAGCGTGACGGGCATTGGGGCAGGCAGAGGGGAAACGCTGTTTGTCCCTACAGGAAACACTTTTTATAGCACTCTGTCCCTGGCATGGAGCAGCTGCACTGCTTTTCTCTGGCAGTGCCAGGGATGCTGGTGGCTCTCAGGAGCCATGGAATCCTTTGTGTATCCTTTGGGACTGGTTTATCAAGGTTATTAACAAGTGAAATAAGTCAAAGTGAAGGCACCAGGACAAGTGTGGGAGAGAACTYGAGTGTGTAAGGCTTTGTGAAGTTTGGCAAGTCTCGTTTATCTCCCAGCTCTGCACAGAGACTTCTTTTACCTTGTTAAGCCATTTATTTGCAGTTGCTGACATTTCCCCACCTCCAGCCTGTCTTGTCTAAAGTGAAAATTGCTCAATGTGTAATTTTTTGCATGTGTGTCCACATTCAAACTGATCTTATTGAAGTAACTGACTGTGAAAGGAGAACAAATAGAACATAGCTTAGTAATGAACAYTGATTGATAGATTCCAAACTAAATTCCAAGCCTCCTTCCTGGAAAAGTTGGAATTTTGAATATGCTTCTTGTCTTGGCTTTATGATAGATTCAACCTGTGCAAAGATTTAAGGTTCTGTATTGGTGCTATTCTAAGGTTCTGTGCAATGCATATATTTAATGAATCAAAAATTTCCTGTGCTGAAACAAGAACTCTGCCTTTAAACTCCAAAGAAATACAGAATTTTGATATGAAAAGCTGTAAGATCTGAAACTCAAAAGTATTAAGGAAGTTGATTTCTCAGTGTTTGAAGATTTGTTTTTTGATGTTTAGAGTGGATTAGAGTTTCTATGAACAGTAAAAGAGCACCTCCTTTGCCCTAAAATACTAATTCCTTGTGTTAATTGGTTGATATTTCTTTCCTTACTCTCTGACATTTTCCTCATAAAGATTTTGAGAAATGTGATGTTCTCCTTTAAACAGTGGTTTCTGATACCAGACTRCAGGAAGTCTAAAAACTACATCCCTTTTCTTGTATTTATTTTTATTTTCCATGATTAAAGCCAGAGTAAAATTAGACAAAAGAAGCCATTGTGTGAGGGAAATCTAAACCAAACACAAAGAGAAACCCTGAAGACATATGGAAAATCCTAAAAATATTTACCCACAATATAAACAGTTAACTGGGGCAGTCGCTGTTCACTGGTTAGTGCAGGACTGCTTCCTGTACAAAGTTTTGCTGAAAAGGAAATCAAATATTCATGATCTGTGGGCAGTTTTTGGAGCATGGAAAAATGTCTTGAAAAAGCAGCAACGGGAGCTATTACYGTTCTTAGCATTCCTCACTTGGCATCTTCCCTGAAATACTAACTGCATGTGAATTTCATGAATGTGACACTTCATCACTCCTCTRTGCACAGGTGTTTGACCATATTGTGGGGGAGGAAGGCCACAACAAACATCACATCCTTTCAGTGGAGACATGTAAACCAACTGGGCCTTCAGCTATTTCATCAGCTYTATTTTTAACTCTGGTAGAAATGTGGAGTTCAGGAAATTGTCCTTCTAGTCGTCTACTTAAGATATGGTCAGAAATTGGGAAAGACTGGCTTGTGCCAAAATCAAGGCAAAATGTAAACTGTGGTTTGTTGAGAGTAAATGAATTTACAGCTGCTGAGGAGGTGGCCTTTGGAAAATAAGATTGAACAGAAATCATCTTTTTCACCTCTATTTCTGATCAGTCTACACTGGACTGTAGCTCACAGGGGAGGAAGCTGAAAATTGTGTGGCTGCCGTTCCTCCTGTTGTCTGTGCTTTTTCTGAGCAGATAGTACACTGCAATTGTAAAACACCATTATTTCACACCAAATTTTCTGTGAGGTAATGCTTAGTTACAGAGTAAATAGTTCAGAACAGTTTAGGTGATAAATGGCACTGATAAACCCCTTTTCCAGGGTAACTGAACCTCACTGCCTCATTTGCTGAGACATCAGTCATGTTCCCTGTGTATCAGAGAACGAAGCCCCAGTGGCTGATGTGTATTTGTTTGTTTTGTCTGGGGTACAGGTGCAGGCTGTTCTGAGGAGACACTGGAACCAGTACAAGATCCAGTTTGAGCACAGCTTCAGCCACTCGGACGCCATGCGCACGGCCTCCTACACCGTGTCGTCCATCAGCGACGTGCAGGGCTACGGCTACAGCCACGACTGCACCAGCGAGCACCTCAACGGCAAGAACTACCACGACATGGACAGCGTGGTGCTGAAAACGGACAAGATCTACGGCTGAGCGCCCGCACGGCTCGCTGTGCCCCACGGCAGCTGCACGTCCCCTCGGTGACTCCATGGCCAGATGTGACCTAACCTGGGGTTTGGGATTCTCAATGACACAAACTCAACCAACGCGGTTTCTGTACCTATGTGCGTGTCTGTATATATATATATACATGTATGTACACACACACGCATATATATACATGTGTTTGTGGTTCTGTGTATCTATATAGTATGGACATCTGTACATATATATCTATATATGTATGTGCATTTATATAAGGATACAGACTTTGCCTCTTCAGTTTCTACTGTGTAGACAAAGCTGGCAAATTTTTGTACAAAGGGAATCAATGAAGGATTTCTTATTTTCTTGGRAGTTTGTATAAGACTGTGCTGTGTTGAAGCCACTTCATTTGCCTATAGAATTTTAGAGTGTAAATACCATACTCTGTTGTCTTAATTCAACCTAAAATAGAACAAAGCAAAATGGGTAAAGTAGGTGCAATAATTACAAGAGGCTTTTCAGGCTATTTTTTTGGTCCAGCATTGGTTTGGCTGTCAAAAAAAGCCTGACAGATAGTCTGAGATGACAGATTCAAAGACAGATACTGCTGTTTTGGTTAAAGATATTGATGCTTTGGTTTGGTTTGGCCAGTCTGTTTTCTTCCCACTGTTTTATAAACATCAAGCACAGAGGCACCACTTCCAGTCTGAGTCTTGACATACTTCTATATTGCAGTGTAATATCTTGCACCAAGATTTGAGCAATTTTATTTAAGCTATTTCAGGATACTTAGAAGTCTCTTCTCCTGAATTGTTTGGAAGTTTCTTCTGGATTTAACAAAGACAACATTGATGAGGCTTCACTGCCAGAAAGAAAAGGAGTAACCTGAATAACTAAGTCCTTCCAAACATTCATAGTAATTGCAGCTGATGGAACTTCACTGTGTGCTTAAGGAATTTACTCAGCCTGGAGAAGATCATGTACAGAATTCATTGTAGCATTGTCCTRATTTTACTTTTAAGTATTTTGCTGGCCATATGCTTGATAACTTATTCCTTCATTCTTGGGGCAAAGTTTTGGTTAATTTTGTGGCTGTTTTTGTTGTCTGAGATAAGCATGCCAGACTGAACACAGTGCACACCCTTGTACTACCTTTAAAGCCAGTGTGTGAGATTCAGACTCACCAAGCAAACTAATGTTAGTAATTGTCTTTATTTGGAAAGTCCAATATAAAGTTTGTATTATAAAGGTTCAAAACTTTATAGATTGAGACTTTCAATATTATTTTGAGTTGGTTGATTCTGAATCTCTGTCTCAGTTAATTAGACAAGAACTAATTAACTAATGTTGTTTCTTTAGGTTCTGCTGATGCATAAAGGTCTCACTGAAAACTAGGAGGTTGTCAGGAAGGTCTTGAGAAAATGTGTCTATAGAAATTTATGTTTTTGTTTAATCTTTATGCTTTAAAGAAATAGTAGTAGTTTTGTTAAGTGAAATGACAAAAWTGCTCAAGATTAAGGGCATGAAACGAGGTGAGTTCACTGAAAAATACAAAATAAGAAGAGTTTTTATACATTTCATTTACAGGTAAGTCTACTTGAAGTGGGGAAAACCCAAAATTAAGTAGAAGAAATGGTAGATGCTGCAACTGACAGACGATTTTGCTAATGACCATGTATCTGGTACATGTAATCCAGTCAAAAAATTGGAAKACAGTTCTTTCTAGGACCACTTCAGATTTAGGTAATGCTGCATACAAAATTATTGCATACAAAACACTTTGACATTGACATTTAAACATTTTTGTCAGTAGCTTTTCTCTAAGCTTCGTTAGTGTCTAGGTAATTTGCTGTCACACTGTTTATTCCTTTGGGACTTCATAAGGCTGTAAATGCTTTGTATTTAGGAGGATTTGGAAATTTCATGCCACTTGTACCTTTCTGTAGTGGTTTTTTTTTTTTTTTACAGTTGGTTTTTTTTTTTTTTTTCCTTTCTTTTTTTTTTTTTTTTTTTTTTTACAGTTCTTATGTCTGGAGTTTGAATACAGGAATGTTTTATTAATGATTTAGTTTCACAATAGAGAATCTCAGCTAAGATGCACAAGTACAGGTTTCTCTTCTGCAAGGCTTTCTGGTCAGTTGATGGGAATGCCTTGAAGAATCTGTTGGATTCTGATCTGTGAGATCTGGCAATCAGATGGCAACAGTCTCTCAAATCATGAGAGTGACAGTAGCAATGTCTACTACAACATGCCTAGAGCTTACTTACAACTCTGCTTGCTGGTCTATGTAGTGTTTGTTAGTTAAAATGTGTGCAACGTTCTGAAAGTATTGGTGGTGCAGAAAATCCCTGCTCTGGTGTAGCAGCTTTACACTTGTGGGACCAGATCTTTGGCTGGGATAAATCTGTGTTGGGTTCCCTGTGCAGAATTGGCAGGTACCACTGCGACTCAAAGCCCAGACAGGCCTCTGGCCATTTTCACATGCTCTAAGCTCTTTATGGCACAGTGTCAGACATTTATTTCRTGGTACCTGGTGAGTTGTTGTGATTTACACATACATGATGGTTTAGAGTGTGATACAGTACTTGACTTTAATTACGCTTCCTTTTCAGATAGGCAGTTCAAATTCAGTAGACTACAGATTTCATCATTTAATACCAAATGCATGGTTCTAAATGCTCTCTGTCCTCTATTACAGAAGCTTGTAATGGTAATTTAGAAGGCAAAATTGTTTTTAGAAAGAAACTATCCTGCTTCTAGGTGGACAATCACAGCTTGCTTCTAGGCACACACACCTGTCTTCACTTTGRAAAAGAAACACATCCATCTGGATGTGCAGGAAAACCTTTGTTGAAGGGTCACATGGTATAGCAGAGCTGAATTTCCCCTCTCCTGCTGAGGATAGYTAATCTGTTTTCTAATGTGCATTGGAAAATACCAATTCCTTATTTTGTCTTCCTACCTCACCTTTTGTCAGTTTCTACATAGCTAAGAGAAGGGTCTRCTGCTTAAAATGTTTTTCTGTCACCATAAGTTAAAATCAACTCCTTAAAGTGATYTCTCATGGTTCTCTTCTACTTTACAGAATGTTATAGTCCATGTATCTGTATTCTCTGGGATGGAAATAAACTCTGTTTTGATGGGGCTGTGAGATTCCTTTGAACATGCAGATTATTATTTGTTTATTACCTGTTCTTATTTGCTGGGGTTTTGTTTTGTTTTGTTTTTTTTAATTTGGTAAGGATTTATTGTATCAAGCTGCAGGGGTTACAGCAAGAGTTGTCTTATATTTGTTATCTGTACCACCAGCATGTTATGATTCAATGAGAGAAGATGTCTATTTTTAATGCWACTGCCTTCAATTAATACATGGCTGCATTGCAGAGTGCCTCAGTTGTTTGTTTAACATTGGCATTTATGTTATGCAGTTTTTCGTGGTGAYGACCTACAAGAGTATTTGGCTGTAGAAATGCTGCAACACATACTCCTTTTGATGTCAAGAAACATTTGGGCTGGAAACCAGGCAACATTCACATATTGTACTATGTAAATAAGATTACTAGAAGCTATAGCATTGTATTTATTGCTTACACTAAGAAGAAATGGAAAAAAATGTGAAGTTATTTTTTTGGTTGGTCTTTATTTTCACCTTGTTCCTATGAATCATGCATTTTAATTGCTGAGAGAAGTATTGTTTCTGATCAATAAAATATTACTCCATTTATTCATCTCTCTTGTCCCATAATCTAGAAATAACAAAGCTATCTAAACCAGAGTTTTACAGATGTCTTAAATCTGTGTTAATTAAATATTAACCCAGGGAGAAAGAAAATGCATAGAGTTACTAATMTTTATTCTTGTTTTAGGTGTTTATTTAATACTTACATTTAATACTAGAGTGCTCAATTTCTGTAGGAAGTTTGCACAGATAATACAAGATGAYTGGGCATAAAATTATTTGCTTTAAAGTTTCATATTCCTATTTCTTGTCTGCTGAATCCACCTTTTAATAAAATGCTGTTAATACTTACTTATGTTAAGCCAAAATTTCTGTTTCATCAGGAACTAACAGAGTAGAGACTAAATTAAGCGTATCTGTCTTCTTCATTCCATCAGTCAAGGTGGAGGTAGATATGCAAAACCTGAGCTCTAATGAAGGAAGCCCAAGCAATCTTTAACCACACTGGGGTTAAATACCTGGGTGTCAATTCTGCTGTCTGCCTGGTGCCCGTACTTCTTCAACTGTGCAAATATCCAATCAAAAAAATGCACAAGGACCAAATGTGAAGCAGTGGAAATTGTTCCAGGCTCTACTCACACCAAGTTTTGTGCTAACTCCCCCATTTACTGATTCTCTCTTTCTATATACAGAGTTAAATGTAACAATTTTTAACAATTATTTTATACTGTTACACAAGTAGGGAAGTAGTTCATCCAATCCAATGTTGCTGCTTACAACAGTGTATTGTAATTCAAGCCCAGCAGAAAAAAAGTAGCATTTTTGATATCTCCAGTAGCATTTTCCAATGCATTATGTGTGTCCAAAAGTAATTAAACAGCAAAATGAAACACAGAATCCTAACCTCCTCAAAAAGAGTAAACAGTGATCCTTACACTTTAAAGGAGGAAATGTTCTTACAGCACCAGTAGCCTCAGAATAATTAAACATGACAACAGATATGTGAGAAAATAAAGAAAACAAACCTATCAATATTGACACACAATCCCATTCCACTCTCTRCAAGATACAAAGATTACTGCCTTTGAAAAARTTCCAATTACTCTACTGGTGTGTCYTGCATGTTTTTGTCATGGCAGTCACCACAGAAATCAAAGTTCTGAAKCAAAGTTTTAGCTTTTGATAATTATCTGACTCCAAACATCTATGTGATAAGAAAATACAAAATATATTTTGAACTAGACCAAATCTATTCCAAAGTGAATGCAAGCACAGAGGTGGCAGACCCTGTCTGTAATTACAATTATTATGTATCAATCATCCTCCAGCTGCCTGTCTTTAACACTTTTTAAACCATATTGCCTAAATGAAAAAATCCAATTCATCCACATGCAGTTCAAGCTTCAAATGAGGGAAATKACATACAGGATTCTTTTTTAATTAAACACAGTTTTAACACTGCCCCTTAAATTTTAACATTACAACATCTAATGACTATTCCAGAGGGTTTTTTCCCCCTTCAACAAGATTCACCACTCTCAAAATGAAAACTCTTGCAAAGAGAAAATATATGATTATTGCTAACTCACATAAATCTTAGTACATTGTTTTATGTAAATTTAACAAAACACAAATGCGGAAAAAAAATCACCGTTTTCTCAAAAAGTGCTTAAACACTATTGTTAATTCCTGATTTAAGATGAACAAGATTTCCTGGAAATTCAGATTTCACAATCAGTATCCATTGAAAAATTGCCACAAAGGAAAAAAAGGTGACCAGAGATGCTGGGGTCCCTGGTGCTCTCTGATGAATCCAAGTTTTAATGGTGGATGCAGGCAATGGAAAGCAAGTTCTTCACTGGGAAGGAGCCAGAGCAGAGAACTGCTTTGAAGCCAGGGGTCTATGGCCAGGGTTTGGGGCAGAGTTCAGGAATGAATCCCAAAGCTTTACAGCAAATATACAATCATAAGCCATGCACAAATTATCAAAGGAGAAAGTAAGCTTSAATACAAGTATTCATGTAATTGCTTAGTTCCTTACCTTGGTATTTGCAMATGAAGGGTGACAAATGTTTGCCTCTGGCACAGAAAGTCCTTCCAAAGGTCCTCCATGAGTTGGACAGGGATCACTGATGGTGTCTTTGACACAGTGAAGTCCATAAGCAGCTGCTTCATATCGTGACAGTCCACTCTATGTCCAATAGTTTTGCATTTAAATATTTAAGAAAACAAAATACTGAATTAGTAGGGAACAACAATATTTGGATGCACAAAAGTATATTGCACTAAACATAAATAGCTATCGGAGAGTTAACACAGTAAACATCATGATAAAAAAACCACTGCTGGATATGATGGATTTAGAGCAAAGGGAGTAAAAAGCTGAACAAACTGTTCTGTGCCTGTTTTTTTTCTAAAATGTGCTATTAGACAGTAAGGGTTTCCTCATTGCAGGGTTTATTTCCAGAGTCTGTGGGCATTCAGCCACCAGGGATACCTCAGAATCTGCAACAAGAACCAAATTCACAGCAAGAGATTCTGGGCTGAGATGAATTGAAAATTCCTAAAGTTCTACTACTATTCYATGGGTTATAGCACAGTGCAGTGACACTGCCTTGTTTGTCACCTTCCAAACTCTATTACAGAAAGCATCTCCATTCCACATACCTGTGATACTCTTCATCCAGATAATGCAATGTACTTGCTACAAGAATTTGAATATAGAAAGTCAGGATATCAATGTCTTCAAAATCTTCACAGCAAATACCTGTGGTAAAATTACTTAAATTTCAGGGGATTTCAAGGTTTGGACTCTGAACCAAACAGTCCTTTCCAGTCCAGGTCTATGTTTTCTAYGAGTTACAAAAAATATTTCCCTTTCCTTTTGTCAGCAGCTATTTTTCATTTAAAGCTAATCACCTCTTATTATTCCCCACATGGACTTGTTTAGATGTGTGCTCTAGATAGGCTGCTCTAGCTGTAATTAAAAAGCTGATTAGAATGATCTGTAAATCATGTGTAAAAAAACCTTAGATAAGAAAGTTTAATCAAGAACCTTTCATAGAAATAATGAAAATATTGGAAGCAAAAATATAAATATGCTAGTAGCAGAAGTCTGTAAGTTCTTGTTACAGAAAACAATAGCACTAATTATCTTTTTCATTATACAATACCTTATATTTATTTTAAAGATTTGCATGATTGAAGCCATGTAAAGCGGGAGTGTTTTAGAAATACAAGCATGGAGCTGATTTCTGCCTGGACTCTCCTTGCTG